GAACTAAAACCAGATCTACACCAGAACTAAAACCAGGACTAAACCAGGACTAAATCAGGACTAAACCAGGACTAAATCTGGAGTATGTGCACAGACACAAATCTACACAAATCTAGTGTGTGTGTACACTGGTGTATAAATGTGTGGACGATGGGTGAGTGGTTCCTTGTTGTAAAGTGCTTTGAGTGTCTTGAAGGTGGGAAATATTATCCATAACTGAATAAGTGAATAATAATCCAAACTCAATTTCAATAGGCTGAGGTGAATTCCTAAGATGATGATGGTCATGCAGAGATTGTGACAGTGATATTGTTGGGCCCAGCACTGCTGACTCGAGCTTTCAATAGTCTCTCAGACAAACACTTCACAGACTTTGACTGAACTTTGCAGATGTTCAGTGGTCATGTTTACATGATGTCTTCTGCATAAGAAACTAGAATCTTTTTTTTTTTTTTTTATTTCTTTTCATAAGCCATAGATGCATGTGCCTGTAGAGTGAACAGGAGATTATGTTGTAAAAATGTAACTCTTAAATTGTGTTTCCTTCAGGACTTTAGCAGTAATGACGTCACAGTCACAAAAACGTCAAGGTCTTTGAGCTGCTTTAAATATGGATCTTTGTGAAACTTTGCAAACCCCACTTTTTATTAAATTCTATATATGTAGGGAGAGAAATGTTTAACTTTTATTATTTTTGTTTGAATAAGGACCAACTGCACATAGGCTTAAGGAATGTGCAATAATTAATAGAATACAAGAATGCAAGGGCTTGCCCGTTAAGAATAATTTAAAGGTTCTGTTGGTGCATCACTCATGGTCAGACTTGGTCTCATATTTATTCTCTTCTGTGGTGTTTGTTTATGTGCTGCTTTGTGTTGTGTTGTCCTGTTTTTTAAAGCATGTCACCCCCTGTCCCAAGACAAATTTCTCCTATGGGAGACAATAAAGGATTATCTTATCTTATCTTAACTACGGAAGCCGAGAGGGGTCACAACAAATACAAACACCACAAAACAAATGCAAAAGCCACAACACATTAAAAAGCCACAATGGAAGTGGCTGCGAGACTCTATTTTCTGACAGACCGATCAAGCGTCAAGTGAAGAAGAAGAACTACAACGTGAAAAGTAAAGGAACGGAGAAGTTGGAAACGTAAGTAAAAGTAATTTATTGTTTTATCATTATTTGTTTCACGTTATAGTTCTTCTTCTTCACTTGCCGCTTGATCGGTCTGTCAGAAAATAGAGTCTCGCAGCCACTTCCGTTGTGGCTTTTTAATGTGTTGTGGCTTTTGCATTTGTGTTGTGGCGTTTGTATTAAAATAGAGTCCCGCGGTCATTTCCGTTGTGGCTTTTTTTTGGTGTGTTGTGGCTTTTTGTTGTGTTGTCGCGTTTGTATTTGTTGTGACCCTCTCAGCTTCCGTAACCAACCTAATGGACACGACTTTAGAATGAACTGAGCGGGATTCAACCTCCCGTCCTCCTGAGCGTGGGACAACCACTCTGCCACTGTGACTAACTATACACCAGAACAACACAAACAGACTGACACTTCACTCCCGCTCTCATCAACATTCCCTGGGGTCTGGTGCTAAATTTAGGCACTGCTCTGTCTGAGACTTTGTTACTCAAGTTAGACCAGGCATGTCCAAACTACGGCCCATGGGCCAAACATGGCCCTCAGATAAATTTTTCTTGGCCCTCAGGCTTCCAGGAGTATTGGCCCAAATTACCAATCAATGAAAACTTAACTTTTTATTGCAAGTTTTTTGAAAATCTACCATGTTAAAGCTAATATTTATTATTTTAGTGTGTGATTTTAAGGATCTTAGCATGAATAAAGACTGACGGCTCATTCTAATGTGTTAAAACATGCACATATTTTAATTATTCACTGTACTGAGCATCAGTCTATGGCCCTCGATCAGACCTCTGCTTCGTCTCCATTTAGATACGTGGCCCTTGATGAAAAAGTTTGGACACTCCTGAGTTAGACTAAAGTTAGATTTTAATCCAAACAGGACCAGAAACACTCACACTGATCACAGACTCCTGAAAATGTGCTCTTGATCCATTTTGCATTTTTTCTTAAGTTTTCAGACCTAAAAAGTTTATTTTGGCCGTGGTTGTTCATGTGTGCATTGTGTCACCATGGTAATTGCTGAACTTTTTGCCATACACCTACTGCGTCAGTAGCGAATGGACTTACTGGTAGTTTTCAGATTCTAGAAACCTCTCATACTAAATCACAGACAGTTGTATTGATCACACTGTTTTTCCCATGAAACCTCCAAAAGGTAAATTCACAAATGTTGAACCTGGTCATTTCTGTGAGTGACCAGAGCCACAAACTCACTGTATTCTAACACAAATCTGCATCAGAATGAGAGTCTGAGTTGTCCCCATCTGCATTTGAAAGGTTGGACTCTGTTCTTATGTCGTTTCGTCATCACAAACAGACCTGGAGTTGTGTTTTGTTTCATGTTTAACACACAAACCTGCACATTTAGGTTCTTCTCTCAAGATGGCAGTAAGTGGTGATACAGGAAGTGCTCCACTATGTTTTTAAACTCCATGCACCTTGACCCTCATGCGGCCCTCAGAGCACGAGCAGATCTTTGAGACTTTCTACACACAATCTCATCTGAATAAAAAGAGAAACAAATATATTCCAAAATCAAGGCTACCACTTCAAGATGTAGCACCTGACATTTCCTGTGGAGGATCTGCCGCCTGATGTTTCCATGGAGATGTTATTGCTTTGTCTAGAATGTTCCTCGGTGTAGATTAAACCTGTCACATGGGAGACACGCAGGTTACAGCAGTACACCACGTTACAGCTCAGATCCAGAGGGCCTCAGGGTCTTCAAGGTATAGGCGACGTTCAGCTGACATCATTGTTATTAAAAGCCCGCGTTGCATGCTGGGAAATCTTTTGGTCGGAGGCAAATAACACAATAGCGGTCAAACACAGTGCGTAACCTCGTGTATTCCTGCTGCATTATCGGATGCACAAATAGAAGCACAGAAGAAGGAAAATGTCTTTTTCATATTCTGAGTGAAAAGAACCGCTAATGGTGAATTAAACGACTTTCAAACATTTGTAGAGCAAACGTAGAAGATCCTAACAAACCGTGGACTCCAACAAGTTCAACAACACATCGAGAATCTTGGAGGTTTTCATCTTTTCTGCTGTGAATGGCCCAGGAGTTTCCACCAAGTCATTGTGGATATCACCCAAGTGAATATTTGTCCAGGTAGTTGGCGATTCTGATCAGAAATTTGGTTTGGTCCACCTTTTGTCGGGGTTGAAAAGGGTGATTTGGCTCCATCGATGCTTATGACCAGTTTCTGGTCAAATCGTCTTCTGTTCAATTGACTAGTATATTATACATGACAAGACAAGACGCACAAAACAAACACTCACACACTCTTCAGACGCACACTGGCCTCACACTGACCGGCCCTGCTGCTGAGCTGCATTAAAAGAAAACTCATAACTACAAATATTTGAGTTCAGCACTTTTAATTCAGCTGTTATCAAAAGGCACAAGTAACGATAGATCCAGCCTTTTAAACTCTTTTTTAAGATTGTGACTTTTCACTTCATCAACTTCAAATAATTGCTTTTTTATTTATTTATTTATTTATGTATTTATTTATTTTAGTTTAGTTATCTGACTGGGGTTTAGAGTGACGCTGTGCTCTGTGCTCTGGTACTTCCTGTCCTGAGGAAACAGAGTTCATAAGACCCTCATGAGACCCTCTTTGAACATGATCCTGGTCTAGTCCCGGTCTAGTCCTGGGGGCAGACCACACACACATGTAAACAGATGTGTGCTGGGACACGTCGCCTCTAAACTCACCTGGATCAGATGCTGCGCTCTCATTGGTCGGTTCATCTCTCTCACCTGAGGCTGGGTTTAAACACGGTCTCGGGTTTCCACACCTGGTCTCTGTGTGGGACCAGAGCAGGACCAGAGCAGAACTAGATCTGGTCTAGACCAGGACTGATGGACGGGTTTTGCATTTTCAAGATAAAAAGGTTCTTCACAAAATGACAGAGACAAATGCCCCGTATTTTGGAAGAAACACAAGCTGCAGATACAGGCAGGGGGCCATGAGAGGGTACTACTACTGTCAATACTACTACTGCAACTACTACTATACAACTACTACTACTACTACAACTACAAATATTACTATTACTATTATGCACTATTACAGTAAATGCTACTGTGCCACAGACACAGTATTAATACACGTGTACTTCATATGTTTTGTTATGACACAGTGGTCATGATCAGGGAGAGTTTGTGTCCTTGGGGTTTGGTTCTGGTCCAGGTCTGAGGTCATGGAGCCAGTGGACCTCTGGTACAAGAACACTGAAGGGTCATTCAGACGGAGAGAGAGAGACAGAGAGACAGAGAGAGAGAGAGAGACAGAGAGAGACAGAAAGAGAGAGTGTGTGTGTGTGTGTGTGTGAGAGTGAGAGAGAGAGAGAGAGAGACAGAGAGAGAGAGAGAGAGATACAGAAAGAGAGATAGTGTGTGTGTGTGAGAGAGAGAGAGAGAGACAGAGGGAGGGAGAGAGAGAAAGGGAGAGAGAGAGATAGATAGAGAGAGAGAGAGAGAGGGGGGGGGGGGGGGGGGGGGGGGGGACATAGTCCTATGTCCTTCGTCCCTGAACTGGAGGCTTTCAGGTTATTGTGCAATGGCTGCACCACTACTCCACTGTGATGAAACCTGCACTAATAATAATACTATGTGTTACTATGTGCTACTATGTGGTACTGCGTGGTACTCTGAGGTACTTTGAGGTACTTTGGCTGTGTATCCTGAGTCTGAGGTCCACGGGCCGCTTTTGGCCCCCGGGCCACAGTTTGCGCCCCCGCCGGAGCGCGTGCGGCACAGATAAATATACTGTAACACCGAGTCCCACACTCACGTCTCACCTACTGTAGTGTCGTAACCACGCACATTTGAGGCCCTGCCCCCGCACGCACGCACACGCACGGGTTCACGCGCGCTGCTCTCACGCTCGTGCCCAGGACTCTCCGTTTTTACATTTGTCTCTTTTCACGCTGAGCTGATGCGCACGGGGCCAGAGTGAAGATGCTGCGCGGAATACCGGTACGGTAAGACCAGGACTCAGCTCTCCCGGGTCCGCTTCTATAGTCCATGATTAGTCCCGGATTAGTTCGGGTTTAGTCCGGGTTTAGTCCAGGTTTAGTCCTGGTTCAGTCCGGGTTTGGAGCGATATCGACCGGCAGGACGCACTTTGAACGGGACATTGGGAACAGTCAGGACACCGCAGTTTGTGTTCATCACGCAGCGCGAGCCTTTGCGCAGTCTGCGTCACAAACATCAAATCAGAGTTTTCACCTTCGTTTGGAAATGATTTTTGGCAATAAACAGTGAGCTGGGGTTTGGTGACTCGTGCGTGTGTGTGCGCGCGGGTGTGTGCGTGTGTGTGTGCGTGTGTGCGCGGGTGTGTGTTTGTTTGACGGTCGGAGCAGCTCCAGTGTCACAGTGAAATGTTGGAGATTTGCAGACAGCAGTTCTTTTGGACCGTGCGCGTGTGTGAGGTGTGGGCGCGTGCGGGACACACTCTGGTGTTTCTCGGTGTTTCCAGCAGAACATATGAGCTCGAGCTCATGTCATGCACAATGTACAGGTTTATTTTGGAGCGGAGCCAGATTTTCATAATAAAAGCTCTTGGGGTCATTCACGCGCAAACACAGTGGCACAGGTCAGGTGAGACAGGCCCACAGCAGACCAGCACATCACACACAACTTTAACTCTAAAGCCTCACTGTGGAACATTTCAGGTGAGGGTCCAGACCCCACACTGATCATAGCACCTGGAATGTTTCACCGTGGCAGTGACATGTCCTTTAAGTTCTCAGAAATATTGTGGAAAAACATCCGTGTGCTCGCCTCTCCATAGATCTAACCTGTAACATGCTTGTCTGTATGCCTGAATGAAACCATCTGTGTCATGGGGATTTAAACATATGATGTGTTCCAGTTAATAACTCATAAAAATAAAATAGCCTCTTAATGACGTCAGGATGAACATGTGAGTTCAGTTGATTTTTTATGTATTTATTTTTTTCCAGAAAAGTCTCAGTGGCCTCAGTTCTGACCTTGGTTTGGTGCACAAAGCTTCATTTGTCTTCTCCTGAAATTTTGACTCTGGTCCTGGTTTAAACCTGGTTTAGACCTGGTTTAGTCCTGGTTTAGTCCTTGTCTAGTCCTGGTTTAGTCCTTGTCTAGTCCTGGTTTAGTCCTGGTTTAGACCGGGTTTAGTCCTGGTTTAAACCTGGTTTAGACCTGGTTTAGTCCTGGTTTAGTCCTTGTTTAGACCTGGATTGGTCCTAGTTTAGTCCTGGTCTTGAATGGGATCCAGAACACACACTTCTTCAGTAGTTTCATGTGAGTGTGGTTTCCATTGAATCTGCCCGAGTTCAGATGGATGTGATTGACAGGTGGATTAGCCAATCAGAGACATGCATGGTCTGTCCATATTAGAAAAAAACATCACATGGACTGAAAAACACAGAGAATCAAAAAGTGACACACAAAACTCTTCATGTGAGGAGAGAGAAATGTTTGTAAATGATGAGTGGCCAATAAGCTCTTTCTTTTCACATGTGTCACTCAAATAAACAAATCTGATTGGACGATCATGTTTGAGCAAGAGGGAAGTGACGGAGGACGTGAGGACCAGACTCATGTCTGTATGAAAACACACAGAGATCAGGCTGGAGGTGGTCTGGGCTTGGCCTTAGTCTGGGGTCCTGGTCTGGTCCTGGTGTGGTCCTGGTGTAGTCCTGGTGTGGTCCTGGTGTGGTCCTAGTGTGGTCCTGGTGTGGTCCTGGTGTAGTCCTGGTCTGGTCCTGGTGTAGTCCTGGTGTGGTCCTGGTGTAGTCCTGGTGTAGTCCTGGTGTGGTCCTGGTGTGGTCCTGGTCTGGTCCTGGTGTAGTCCTGGTGTAGTCCTGGTGTGGTCCTGGCGTGGCCCTGGTGTAGTCCTGGTGTAGTCCTGGTGTGGTCCTGGTCTGGTCCTGGTGTAGTCCTGGTGTGGTCCTGGTGTGGTCCTGGTGTAGTCCTGGTGTGGTCCTGGTGTAGTCCTGGTGTGGTCCTGGTGTGGTCCTGGTGTGTCCTGGTGTGGTCCTGGGTGGTCCTGGTGTGGTCCTGGTGTAGTCCTGGTGTGTCCTGGTCTGGTCCTGGTGTAGTCCTGGTGGTCCTGGCGTGGCCCTGGTGTGGTCCTGGTGTAGTCCTGGTGTGGTCCTGGTGTGGTCCTGGTGTGGTCCTGGTCTGGTCCTGGTGTAGTCCTGGTGTAGTCCTGGTGTGGTCCTGGTGTGGTCCTGGTGGTGGTGGCCCTGGTGTGGTCCTGGTGTAGTCCTGGTGTGGTCCTGGTCTGGTCCTGGTGTAGTCCTGGTGTGGTCCTGGTCTGGTCCTGGTGTAGTCCTGGTCTGGTCCTGGTGTGTCCTGTGTCCTGGTGTAGTCCTGGTGTAGTCCTGGTGTGGTCCTGGTGTAGTCCTGGTGTAGTCCTGGTCTGATCCTGGTCTGGTCCTGGTCTGGTCTCTGTGGGGTCTTATCTGGAGCTGTAGAGGTGCTTATGAGTGGAAAGTTTTTGTGTGTAAAGTCCTAATCCTGTGTGTGCTTGTGTGCGTCTGACACAGACACAGGATTATTTGGGCCTTTGCGTTTGAATCATGTAAGTGCGTGATGTTGTGTTCAGATGTTGTGTTCAGATGTTGTGTTCAGATGTTGTGTTCAGATGTTGTGTTCAGATGTTGTGTTCAGATGTTGAGTTCAGATGTTGTGTTCAGATGTTGTGTTCAGATGTTGTGTTCAGATGTTGTTCAGATGTTGTGTTCAGATGTTGTGTTCAGATGTTGTGTTCAGATGTTGTGTTCAGATGTTGTGTTCAGATGTTGTGTTCAGATGTTGAGTTCAGATGTTGAGTTCAGATGTTGTGTTCAGATGTTGTGTTCAGATGTTGTGTTCAGATGTTGTGTTCAGATGTTGTGTTCAGTGACACCAGGTGACGGTGGAGACCCTCGACTTTGACCTGAGACAGCTCCGAGTGTCAGGGGGAGTTTGTGTGGAAGTGTCAGGTGCAGATGTGTGACTGGGTTTATGATTCAGATCTCTGAAAGTTCTGGGCCTGTCCACAAGAAACAAAAACGGATACAAAACTCAACATCTTCTCTGTCAGGAGAAGTAAACAACTATTTTTATTTTTTTTTCTTTCACATTAGCTTCAGAAACTGATGCCATTATTCTGTTCAGCTGAAAGGACTATATATGACACGTTTGTGCTTCTTCTTCTCAAACAAATAATGAGAAGAAAAAACTTAATGTAGAATTTATGGATCAGAAGTTTGGAGATTTCTTTATAAACAGTGAATCTCCCACAGAGTTCTACAGAGTTCTACATTTACAGGAGGCTGTTTGTTGTTTCGAGGTTCTAGTCTAATCAACATAAATATATAAACATTTATGTAAATTGAAACATTAGTGCTTTAAAGTGGAACTTCAGCGAGTGCGCCCTCGTCTTTACGCTCTGTTTTAAGAAGAATAATGCACTGGATTGATCTAGCACCTTAGTGGCACTTCACAGCTCTCTTCATTCACTCCACATGCTCTGGGGGTGAGGGACGAGTGTAGCCACAGCTGCCCTGAGGCAGACTGATGGAAGTGAGGCTGCCAGCCACCACCAGTCATTCATGGATACACCACTTAGGCAATGCGGGTGAAGTGTTTTGCCTAAGGACAGATTCTGGTCTGACTCTGGTCTGGGTCTGGTTCTTGTTGTGGTCTGACTGTAGCCTGTGTACAGAAGTGCACTGGGGGAGTGGGACGTCACCCACAGGGTTCGACTTTGGTGCCAACTTCCATATTTGGAATGTCAACCATGAGTATCATAACCACCAAAGAGCCAATCAGGAGCGAGGCTGTTGAAGCCAAAGAGCAGGTGCTTAGCACAGCTGTCAATCAAACCTGTTGTTAAAACTAGCAGGAGTGACTTTGGGGAAAGAAGGCACCTGATTGGTCAGTTATTAATGTTCATATCATCACTGATTTAGGGACAGAATAGTGAAATAAAATGTAGAGGATCATGTAGAGCAGCTTCATAGGAACATGTAAGGCCAACATGAGGAGCCTGAGAGCAGCAGCTCCAGACAGAGCAGCCACGCTTCTTCAATAGAACATGCACTGGAGCCACAGTCAGTGGAGCTGACTCATGCTCACTTCCTGTTTGGAGCACAGGGGCTTTCGGGTTAGCTGTGTGCATCTATAAACAGTGTGTGTGTGTGTGTGTGTGTGTGTGTGTGCTGTCTCCAGGTGCTGTTGTTGCTGTGGGCTGCAGACCTGAACAGAGCCTATGTGTTCCAGGCCAGTCGCCCGTCAGAGGGAGGAGACAACCCCCCCCAGACCAAAGGTGAACGAGCCAGATGCCCTCCCATACTCCTGCATCCCTGTGTGTCAGATGCCCTCCCTGTGTGTGAGATTGTGTCAGATGCCCTCCCTGTGTGTCAGATTGTGTCAGATGCCCTCCCTGTGTGTCAGTTTGTGTCAGATGCCCTTTCTGTGTGTCTGTTGTTCTTGTTTTGCTCCTTAAACTCTGCAGAGTCTCTTGAGTTCTTTCAGCCGTAAACAGGAGACTGTCACTGACTGGACTTTGAAATGACAGTTTAAATACAGTTTAAATACAGTTTAAATACAGTTTAAATACAGTTTAAATATAGTTGAAGCTGTGATGAGAGCCACTGATTGAACACTCTAATGATTACATGTTAAAGCTGCAAGCAGCGTTAAAGGTCCTCACCCCAGTACAAAGGGCAAAGAGCCCTGCTCAGCCTTTTGCCTTTACCTTGTGGGCAGGTGTTTTGAGCTGTGTTGTCCTGTGTGTTTGTGTGTTTGTTTACAGTGGTGTCAGAGTGGGTCAGCTCCTCTGGCTCCTGTCTGGGCAGATGTTTCGAGTTGGAGGAGGCCAAACCTCCTGGGTGCAGATGTGATAACTTGTGTAAGACGTACCAGAGCTGCTGCAGCGACTTCGACGACCACTGCCTCAAAACAGGTCTGAACTCTTTACCAAAAATCTAACTGGTTTACCTGGAATGTTCCACAGTATCTTTATTCAATTTGACACATTTGTTGTTGCACAAAAGCACTGCATTTTTACTGCTGTGTGTGCTTGTGTGTGTTACTCTGTAACATTCCAGGCAGACAATAATATTTTCTTGGAAGAAGTAAATGTGAGACTGTCTGGGGCAGATCACTCCACTGATGACACACTTCCAACATGTTGTTACATCTAGTGACTGTAAAGTGGGTAATGCCTTTCAAAGTAAAACTACATTTGGACATTTTGCTTTGACACACAGTGATTCTGAATCTTGTATTCAATAGGCACATTTTTTTGTGTGTTTTTAATTTGAAAATGAAAGTGTCAAATGGAAAAATAGAATTTTAGAATCCATATTAAACTGTCCAAACAAAATACACAGTGGAAGAGACTTGGACTTGTTAAGAGACATGTTCTATAAGAGACTTGAGATACGAGCTTTAAACACTATGGTAAAAGCACAGCTCCAGGACACACAGGTTCTTGGTTTTACTGGAGCAGCCTCAGTCACACAAACAACAATGTAAGAAACAAAAATATAATACCAAGAAAACACTAACATAATACTCATACCAGCACACAGTCATTTCCTTTCATTAGTTACACAAACAGCAGTGCACTTCCAGCCCTTGGGCAAAATAGTAACAATAATACTAATACTGCAGTAGACTTGCTGTGTTCAGATCACAGTGTCAAGAACGCACCAACGCCTCTGGTTGGACGTCTCTTCATTTGAGGACAGAAGCTTGAAACGCTCTGACATGCAGGGAAGTTCACCCAAAGTTCAGATTTTAGAACATGAAAAACACAGTGGAAACACTGGACCCGCCTAGACACACGCCACTCCATAGACTTTACATGTAAAGCCCCCACTCGTGACGCCGCAGTCTGACCATGTGGAGCTTTTATTGTGGTGTGTTTATGTGTTTGATTGAGACAGAGCATGTTGATGCACACATGATACAACATGGACGCAGACACACTGGATTATAGACAAAGGTTCATTTCCTTCTCTTGTCTCAATGTCACTTTATAATTTGCTGCATTCTTCATTCCCTCCACACTCTGGTGGTACGCTCCAGCTGTAGCCACAGCTGCCCTGGGGCTGCTCTGACAGAAGTGAGGCTGCCAATCTGCACCATCGGTCCCTCTGACCACAAACACTCACACACACTGCATTTATACTAGACAATGTAGGTGAAGTGTCTTGCCTAAGAACACAAGAACAGTTTTTGTCACTGGCTCCCCCTGGTTTCAGCGATCTCTCATCCAAGTCCTGACCAGGCCCAGTCTGCTGAGCTCCTGAAACCTGACGAGGTCAGACTCTGACAAGGAGCTTTGGCCACAAAGTTACTTTCCCTAATGTGTGACACAGTGACTTGTACTTATACTTGTGTACTGTGCAGTGGTAGTATCTTTACTTGTGTACCACAGCGGGAGGGTTTGAGTGCTCGGAGGACAGATGTGGAGAGGAGAGGAACGAGAACCACGCCTGCCACTGCTCAGAAGACTGTTTAGAGCAAGGAGACTGCTGCTCGAACTACAAGTCCACATGTAAAGGTACTTTTACTCTTACTA